GGAAGGAAGGAAGGGAGGAAGGGAGGGAGGGAGGGAGGAAGGAAGGAAGGAAGGAAGGAAGGAAGGAAGGAAGGAAGGAAGGAAGGAAGGAAGGAAGGAAGGAAGGAAGGCGCCACAACCTGGCTCTTCTCCCCCCCCCCTCCACACAGTCAGGGGTGGGTGCGATAGTCCTGTTTCGACCACCCTGAGGGTCTCTCCCGCTTCTCTTCCCCTTAACATTCTGGGCGTAACCTGGTGAAGGCCATCCTGCCAAGCTCAGTGTGAGTGTGGGGAGTAACCCGTGTGAGTTTGGGGGGGGGGCTCCTTAGCCAGGCAGAGGCTTCCAAACAGGGAGAATGGGCGGCAAAATGGCAAATGCGCTTCAGTATAAGAAAATGTAAAGTAATGCACATTGGGGCAACATAATCAAAACTTTAGATATCAGCTGATGGGTTCTGAGCTGTCCATGGACGGCTCGGTGAAAGGGCTCACCCAGAGTGCGGCCGCAGCAAAGAAAGCCAATTCCATGCTAGGGATCATTAAAAAATGGGATCGAAACTCAAACAGCGAACCCGGTCACGCCCTTGTGCAAAACGCTGCTACGGCCGTACCTGGAGTCTTGCCTGCAGTTCTGGTGGCTGCCGGTGAAAGGGCTCACCCAGAGTGCGGCCGCGGCAGAGAAAGCCCATTCCATGCTAGGGATTATTAAAAAATGGGATTGAAACTAAAACAGCCAACCTGGTCACGCCCTTGTGCAAAACGCTGGTACGGCCGTACCTGGAGTCTTGCATGCAGTTCTGGTGGCTGCACCTCAAGAAAGACGTGGTGGAACTGGAGAAGGTGGAGAAGAGAGGGACTCCAAGGAGGACTGGGCAGGGGCACCTCCTTGATCAGGGACAGCGACCGCGTTGGGGGAGAAGAGAGGGACTCAAAGGAGGACTGGGCAGGGGCACCTCCTTGATCAGGGACAGCAGCGACCGCGTTGGGGGCTCTTTTGAGAAAAGGCGCCTGAGGTGGGACAGATGATGGGAGAGGCATCAAAGGATGCAGGAGAGGGATATAAAGCGGAGCGAGGGAAGCTCTTTCCCCTCTCACGCCATGCCAGAACCAGGGGACCCCCCACTCCCGTGGAAGGTTGGGAGACGGAGGACAGACCCAAGGAGGGACTTCTTGACCCAGCGCGTGGTTAGTCTGCGGAACTCCTTGCCACAGGGTGTGGGGGATGGCCTCGGGCATCCAGACGCCTTTCAAGGGGGGGGATTGGGCAGATTCCTGGAGAAAGAGCCACGATGGGGAGGTGCTGTATGTAGCACAATCTCCAGGCGTTGGAGGAAGGGACCTCCGAAGGCCCGAGGCAGGGGAGAGAGATGTCGGGAGACCGGGATCTGCTCCCGGAGGCATCCGGAGGGGCCCCTTGGGAGATCCGGGGAGCTGGAGGAAGAGGGGCGCCCGGGCCTGATCCCGCAGGGCGCTCCTTCGGTTCCTCCGGCAGCCCTCCTGCTCAGGCGGAGGGAGGGAGGCGCCCCTTCCCCGCCCGGGTCCCCTGCCCCGATGCCCTCCCACTCGCGCCCTCCCCGGC